TAATGTTTACATTCATGAGGATAATTAAGTAGTAAGTACCTACATAATATTTGTACAAAAATAAATAAGATGTTTTAGTAATTATCATCAATTTATTTATAGCTGTTCACTACTCTAAGAACGATAATTATCTTACTTATGATATAAATATTAAGTAGATATAAAGTATTAGTTTATATCGTTATGAAACTATCTTAAAAATGTTGCTTACTCTAACGACGAAAAACTCAATTAAATTAGTTTAAGATTTATTGATTTTTATAATAACAATTACCATGCACATTTTTAAGTACAACAAAATTATCTCTCTTATAGTTATGAATTAACTTAAACACATCACAAAAACTACGTAATACTTGTATATATAAAATGATTAATGATTAATAATAAATTACAATAGTTTATGCATGCCATTAGTGTACAATATTATTAAAGTTAAACCGTTACTCGTTATTTGGAGTGATATGTACAAACTAAAGAAAGTCAAAATTTAAGTTTATATTATATATTTTTTAAATTAAAAATTAATAATGGCATAACAATAATCATTTATAATGATTTATAATAATACTTACATTTTAGACCACACTGCATTTATTTTTATGGTTTTTTTACATAATAAGATAAGAAGAGTGGATGTAGCTCTGCTGTAAAGTAGGTTACAAGTGGGTCACTATAATGGATGGTGTTAAATTTGAATTAAATTATATAATACCGTTGTATAAGAAAAACGATTCTGAGCGAAGATGGTCAGTCAGCCTATGATACTTCTAAGTATATTTGATGATATTATTGTGAATAAAGTAATTTATATATAACCTGTACGTGGAACATTGTTTTAAATTTTCATTGTTTAGGTATAAAATTTGAACATTTTATACATTTTTAATTACAAAATAATTATTAAATTTGAAATTTGATGAATATTGTCAACATTTGAACTTTAAATACTTATAAAAATTAATTGTGACTATGTATTTTTAATATTTTGAATTTTTCAACTATCATTGTAACAATATATTAGCAGTCTAGTATTAAATATTCAAGCTTTTTGACCCAACGAATAAAATTTGATTTACATTTATAGACAAAAAACTAAAAAAATTGGAAACAAGTCAAAATATTTAAAACATTTTATGGTGTATAGAAAATGCTAATATAAATATTCAGTGAAAATGTAATATATCTACGGTAATTTGTTTTAAAGTTACGCCATAAACCAAAATCTATTTTGTCGAAAACCGATTTTGAGTAATAATTCTAGTTTAAAACCTTAATTTTTTTTTCCTGGTTCTTTGGAAAACTACTGTTTATTTTAAATTTTGACCTTATCAATGCTCCAACTAGATTCACTTTACCATCAAACAAGATACTGAAGTTGAAATCAAAGCACTATTTCGACTAGGTACTTATCATGTACACAGACTTAACTAAGTATTTAAAAAAAAACATACACACATTATTGTAAAATCAATACATTCATCGCTCCGCTCAGAATCTAAAAATAACAGTACACATTAATGTTATTTTTTATATTGTTTATTTTCTACTCAAATATAAGTAGTGAATCATCACCAATTTTTAATATGAAAAATTGCAATTTACAAATTTTACTACAACTGGAGTTTTTTCTCTTTTCACTCACATCCTCATTTTAAACAATGACGGTTGTAATTATTTTGACTTACTCTAAAGTATATAAATTCTTAGTTACAAGAATATAAATTATTCCCCCCCTCCCATTTGTAACTTTTACATTTATGTATTTATTATGTATTGTGAATCCATCTACCTAACTACAAGGACCACGGATTATCCATAATTCATATCCCAACTTTCACATGAAGCAAAAGCACTACTTATGAATATAGTAATCAAGTGCTTACACTTAGACTTCTTAAACTTGTGTGTTAATATTAAGATGAATAGGACAAAGAAGAACTCTGATAAACTCGTAATCTATATTTTGCAGTAAATGCTGACTTATAATTCAACAGTTTATAAGTTATAACACAATAATCGAAAAAGTTTTGTAAACACAAGTATATTTCATTCGATTCCAGAATCGTGTATTTTTTTTTTTTTGCTAAGAAATGACACAATGGTTGACGCACAAATTATCCATTTAAGTAAGTTTGGTACTAAACAAAACTGACCTTGAGAAATAGCTTTATTCGCTGCACTTATATTTTACATAGTTGTTCTACAAATTCTTTTACGAACAGTGTAAATAAATTAATCTTTAGAATTCAAACACACTTACACATATTTCTATAAAATATTTAAAAATTATTATTATATTATGTTTATGTTCAAAAACGTGTTATCTCTTATCATTATTAGTCACTCAAATGGATAACATTAGCGTTTAAAAGCCAATGTGTCATATAAATTACTTAATATATTATAATCTTAAACAACGCATTTTATTATAGTTTTAATGTGAAAGTTAATCATATTATTTTTAATATTAAATACTATCTTTGCTTTATTGCTCAAGAAAAATAATAATAAGTACGTATAACTTATCAGCCGTTTAATATAACGTATAATAATATGTATGTAGGTAATGTCCATAAAAGTTTAATCGGTTGAAATGTGCATATAAAAAATAAGTACTCAAATATTAATATAAATGATTGATAGGAAAAAAAACATTTATGGTATGATCAGTATATTTATTTACTTCCATCTAGCAGGTCTATGATGTCGATAAAAAAAAAACCAATAATATTTTAGTATTTGACTACACCATACACTTTTTTCATATTATATAATATACATTTTTGTTTTTAAGCGTGTGCCTATGTATCATTACAAAATAAATACATTTTAAGTTCATTTTTACTTCATAATCGCAAAATGTTGTTGATATTTTAACGGGCTTCATCCCTGAAAATATTTCATACCAAGTACCTACACAAAATACAAAATATACCCATAGGCAAATATATGGTTACGATTAATAAATAGTTCAATAATAAAATTGGCGTCATAAAGCAGACACAAGTCCCTCTGTCCCTATAGAAATATGATCAAAAATATTTCACTCCCAAGAGAATTATCCTTCACCCATAGCTGCCCAAAACTATTGCTTTGATCACATTCTTTGTTGATATTATAAAATAAATGTTCTAATCAAACTACCTATTAATATGTCATGTTATATCACAATATTTTTTCTTTTTGGGATGAAATACGGTTTTCATTTTCATCACATTAATATTTCTAATCCTTGTAAAATAAAAAGGAATATAGAAAGCCGTGTTTTAATAATATAGTAATTATTGTATCGTTTCATTTAATTATTTGACACCTTATTTATAACAACGCATTACGTACATACTTATATTATAAAGTAGATTAAAAGAAAATTATACATTTGAATTAAAAATAATTACTAACCCCTACAATGACTTTAAGGATAAATTAGCTTAGTACAAACACTAACAGGATCATAAACATAAGACATTGTATGAGATTTTAAATTTAGATTAAAATGTTCAAAGAAAGATGAATATTTTAGAAATAATTGTCATTTAAATATTTATAATTGGATAAATAATACTAGTCTATAACGTTGGAGTGTATTACATAAAAAAAAAGACTTTATGACATGTTAATAAAGGATAATATATTATTATCTTAAAATTAATAAAAATGCTGGATAAAAAAAAAACACAGTTCACATAGAAAAAATAAACCTACCTATATCAAATCGAATTTTAAAGAGGGAATTCCTGATGCCTAATGGGTAATGATATTTACTTTTAAAAATGACAAGAGGAAAATATTACTTAACTCTAAGGATTTTATTTTAGTATGTATCGTATTTTTTGTACTAAACAGTATATTGCATGCATGTGAAAACTTTTTATTTTTTAAAGAATTATACAACTATAAAAGTCTATTAAATTTGAAATAAATCTATTGAAAATTGATGTATACGTATAATATTATGATATTGTGTACTTAATACTTGTGTGACGTAAAAAAAAAAATGTATAAATATTAATTTGTTTAGATACCTTTTATAACATCAAAAGTTGAAAATGTATATTATTCAACACTATTATATTATATTATATTATATAAGAAATAATTAATCACCTTTTCCACTTATAAACCCGAAAAGTTTCTTATACAGTGCACTCACCATTCCATAAATCAATATAATATTTAAAACAAAATAAGTTTTATAACTACCTACTGTACAGATAAAAATACATATTCATGTAATAATTCTAGTGTCATGAGTAAACTTAACATTTATTTAAATAGGTACAGTTCAGGAATACTTTTCAGGAAATACAATGTCACTATTTATTCTAATTATTTTGAATATTTTAACCATTTTTCAAAAGCGTGAATAATGTGTATCACTTATAAGTTACAAGAATTGTGAAATCATTATATATATAAATAATACACAAGTTAAACTTTGGTAAACAAAAATTAAACATTTAAGTTGAAGATTTTAAGTTTTTGTCACTTATCCTACTTATGAAAAACTAAATAATTATGTAATCTGTTGACTTATTCTGAAACATGGAAGAAATTATTGTTTGCTATACTGTTTCAATTTTGATTTCTCGACGTTTGCTCTAATTTTGACCTTTTATATTATTGTTGCTTTAAAATATTTACAACCTGTTTCGAAAATTTTATGTGATTATAGTAAAATATGTCGTAATAATACTCTGAATATTTCAGAATTCTTTCAATTTTATTTATACGATTTATCGATTTATTTTTTTTAATTAGCTGAATAGAATATATTTAACATTTGAAATTTGAATCACATAAGTTAAATTAATATTAGATAAATTATTATTTTAATGGTACCATTTTATACCTACATTTTACAAAACGTTTTACTAGTAAGACTTAACCAAATCATTTCAATATAATGTTGAACATTCCTTTTCAACTTCAAATAGACCATTGACATATTACAATATATAATACTTAAATATTATTAGATATTGTTTAAGAAAAACCTTTTTTCAATTTGTTGACTTTGACTTCTTTTTTTGAACACCCGCTTAATTCGGAGCAATAGAAACGCAGCCTTGTCAATACTTAAAGACTGACGGCGTTTGTTATCTGATTTTTGGTTATCATCTTGGTCCATCTGGAAAAGCGATAAATGCTAATTAATAACAAGAAAATTCAAATAAAAAGAATAATTATTATTTAAAACCAACTAAAAAGTCCTCCACTTTTATACGATTCCATCATAAGACTCTGGATTGTATCCTAAAACTTGAGATGTTATTACTATATTTAATACTAAGTATGTACATTGGTTAAATTATTTATTTATTCAATGAATTATTATTATTTACAATGTATGAATATGGTATATTTGTATGACACTTTTATGTGTATATTTAAATAAAGAAAAACCATAATGAAAAAAAAAAAGATATGAGTCCATAGACTTTACACGTTATAGTTTAAAGTCTATAACTACGATTCTTTGAAAATCGATATTCACAACAATAGTGCTATAAAAATAAATTTTTTTACGATCATTATTGCTAACAAATTATATAGAATGTAGAATACCTAACCTAACCTAACTTACAAATAATACCCACCATCCAATTACTAAAAACGTACAATATGTAATGCATAAACTATTTTATTTACTTTTATATACAATTATAAATATACTGATAAGTAGGTAATTTAAAACTTTTTTTCTATCGAAACTCGATGTTAGCGATGAACACATTCAATGGAATGAGATTATAAAACTGTTGTTGTGTTTTTAAGTATGGGTAAACGTACCTATGTTTACTAACGTTCAATGAAACCAATTTGTTATCGCCTTTCATTACAACTTAAGAGGTTTAATTCAAGTGATTAATTAATATTATATACATACCTATGTTTGATTAACATATTGATTTAAATGTAGTGTTTACATAATATTTTTAAATAAAAATAACGGATGGCTCACTGTCTCTCTCTGTATATAAGTGTGTATGATACATTATATTATATTATACATAATAAGTAATAATTAATATTGTGATATAGGTAATATTTATGATCCTGATACCATTGCACATGCTTTGTAAATTACTCTACTCTATTATTGGTAAACATTTTAAGTTACTTTTTATTTTTAACCTGTATTGAACTTGGAAGACATTTTGACCCATCCTCACTTTTTAGTTCTTAACTTTAAATAAATATGATTAATAAATAAGTTAATTGTTTTGTTTAGCGTGATTAAAATTAAAATAACATTTTTTTGTTCAATTGGACGTTTAAAATAGAATACAGTAATTTTTAAGTTTTTTTTTTACAAACTCATTTAAAATCGAAGTAACTATATTATTTTTAATACACAATATTTTATTTATTTTTTAAGACATGTAATTATGTAGTATTCTAGTATGCATTTAATAATATATTATATATTTTAATAAGTACGTGATGTAGGTATGTATTGGAAAGGAGTTATAACAATAAAACACTATAACTATCAATATTATAATATTATGGTCTCTACCTTGATTATGCTAATCAATGATTGAAAGGTAATTGAAAAACTTCCAAGGTATGACAGCTGCAGTATTTGTCGAAATCTGATTCAAAGTGTTATGATGTACCACACTGTACAATTTACTGCTAATGAATAATAATAATATGTAGGTACCTATAAGGTTAATCGACCATGTAATCTCCTGAGATCTGAGTTATGAAGAAAAAAATTTAAAGTAAATTTATCATGAAGTCGAAAATGTACAAAAAATCGTATAACTTCAGTTGTTAGTTTTAAAATATATTTTAACAGTTGTCTAATGTCTAGTCACTACTCATTATATGGAACTCAGATGTTGCCTTTTTTACTATATGATGGTGTCCTAGCTAACAATATGTTGTTACTGCTTAAAACAACATTTCATTTTTTTTTTTATGTGTGTATGTGTGCTATGTGGGAAAAATTACAATACTATATTTCTTGTATTGTATAAGCTCGTAAAATACATACATAAAATATGATGATACAAAAATAAAATATAAGTAGTTAAAATTAGAAACTTAATTTAATTTGAATAGACTGACATATTTTATTTTCAGATTTGAAACCGATAAAAAGTGGGCGTGTTTTAATTCAATCCTCTAATGTATTCAGTACATTTGTTATAATTATGACGACGACTATAGTTTATTGTAATATCGATTATTCCATTACATTTATAATTTACCGTACAAACATAATATTATGTTAGTACCTACTTATAGTTTTTCATTTTATTATTTCAATTTGTTTTTGAAGTCATTTGTGTATTTTTATAATGACATTGTCCTTTGTATTTTTTTTTAGAGTATAAAAGTCCTGGCTCAACCGAGTATATATATATTAAATACAACTATAATGCTGCTAGTGAATGAAATCGGTTTAACACGGATACCGTATATACTGATTGAAATCATAAAAAGATAATACAATATAACCGCAAAAACGGCGGCGGCGCGGCGAATTGAGCTTTTATTTGAAAACTAAGGATATTTTATTTTGGCACGCCCTCTCATTCCACCACTTTTAACGACAATATATCGTTGTGCTTTCATGAAACCGTTCGACGTGCACATCATATTGTTAATATTTTGTTTTAACAGACGCCGTCTCTGAATTTCGTCGCCCCGGGCACACGGTTTTATATATTTTATAAAGCCACTGCTCTAAATAAACAGTCGGTAGTTTTTGTGTAACCATAGACGTGGTACCCGCGATGACGCCGTAAACATATAATAGAAATGGAATACGACAACAATAATATTATTATAGTGCCGAACGGTCAGTAGAAAATCGGATAATACAGGATTACACATTCGTAGTGCGATTAATACGAAATAAGCAATAGTCGCACATGCCACATTATCGTTACGATCTTACGATAAATAGATTTTACAGATATTTTTGCATAACCAATAATTATTATAAACATTATGATACCATTGCATTGGGTTTCGTATTTCCTAGTTCCCTATAATAATTGCTCTTATATTCGTAAATATGAATTCATTGACGAGGTAGGTATATATAAAAAGATTCTAAGTGATTTTAGGTATGAAATTATATTTCATTTATAATCTCACGTATAAGTATTTAATAGTTTTCTATTTTGTACTCATTAATTTTTTTGCTCATAACTCTCACACGTATAAATTATTAATAATAAGAAAACTCTAAAATATAATTAGGTATCACTTAAATTCAAAGTAATTTCCTATTTAAATAAGCTTAAAATATGTATACGAATAAGAGATACCATGATTTGATTTGTAGGGCGTAGTGTATATAAATACATATATAAAGCTCAACGGGAAAGACAAAAATAAAATGATATTACACACTAAAGCGAGACCGACATGACATGAGATTTCTGTATCTATACGTCAAATTAAAACTATCTGTATTGAATAATATCTTTAGACTCTGAAAGTCGAACCACTTGGGATTTTCAGCAATATGTCATCCTATTTCTCTACTGAATAGGAATAATACTAAATTATTCTATAAAAGATATATCATGAAAAGGTACACGTAAAACGAATATTTAAAGCAAATGATTTACAACCAAAAATATTTAATAATTTTAAAGTTGAATGTAGGTAATATAATATAAGTAGATTGATTTAGTACCATAAAAAATAAAATGTGTAAATAATAATTATTTATATATCAATTATTAACATTTATTTTTCATTCAAACATTTTTAAAATGTATAAAAGTTATACATTTTGAAATGTAAGACTAATTTTACTAAAAAGTACTAATGTAAGTATGTGTTTTTAATACTAATAGAATTAAAATATGAAGTAACAATAAAAACTAGATAAGGCTGACATTTCGAAAAAATAATCAAAAATACTCAATGCGAAAATGAGTCTAAACAAAAATAATAAATACATTACAAACAATGATTATTATTAGCTGATATAATATATTGACTTATATAATATTATATAGCTTGCGGTCGTTGCTATTATCATTTTAATATTCAAATAAAATAGGGACTTTATTATACCATATTATACGGTGTTTTAAACATGATTAATGTGACAATAGAATACCAATCGTACAGTGAATAACAAGAATATTAAAAATCACTATACTTAAACTATATTCCTTAATCCTTATAGACCTAGGAATTATTTGTACGTGAACCACTAGAGCTATTTAACTGTTAAAATGAATCGTCTTCAAATTATTTTTAATAGAATGAAAAATTCTCACGGTATTATATGTTATGAAAAATAGCTCGTAAGACTTATCAATTAAATATTTCAAAAAAAAAAACTATTAATTCCTTCGTATAGTTTACTTACTTTTCACTATGGATCTTATATAATGCTAAAGTAATATTGACACGAGTTCAGTAAAAAATTAGTCATGGACGAACGACAGTATTGAACAATAACGATTACTAGAGCGAAAAAACCAATTGACACATTTCGTATACTGTATGAGAACAGAGATCAATTTTATCATTTTAATAAAAAATCGATTTTTACGAACTGCAAAACGAAAACGCGTATGTTGTGCAGACGGACTGCAGATATATCACACTGCTGTAAGCGTCGAGCTTATATCGGTACGTACGGCGAAGAGTCGATTTTCTACTGGATTTTCCAGGGTTGCAGGCCTCAAGCTTTTCAGACCACGTCGCACGCGCTGCCAGTCACGTGGGACAGCGGCGCATTCTATTGGATCGCATTCGCGCGCTCAAGGGTAAAGTGTCCGAAATTATTCTCGAGCTTTTTCCCGGTCGCCTATCTTTTTCCCGCAAACTTTGTTGCAAAACGAACCAAAAGTTCTTCTTCGGTTAGGTACTAGGTGTTGTATAAACTTAGTTTATAGGTCTATGGTTATACCTCTATATTATTATAACATCAACAACACGCAATATGTACACACACGACACACACGATACACATATATTATAATACATGAGATATTACATTTAATTATTATAAACATAATATTATCTAAACGTTGTAATCAGTTGTTTGAACTTACGTTTTTTTTTAAAAAAAAAAACACATAAATTAGCTTTTTTATTATAGTTTCCAGAATAGTATAGTCGTTGTGGTATATTATAATATAA